CCAAAATAAATTCGGCAAAGAATGCACTAAGCTCCAGCTAAGCTACCTGAATATTTCCGTCAAAGCCCCAAGTTTTCTTACCTCCTCCAGCTTCGCAAGCTTGACCCCATCCACAGCACCAACCGCTCTCCCTTATTTTTAGCCCCTCTCGACTCAGCCGTCAAAAAGCAATCCCCTTGCGACCGCCCCGGAGCTAAAAAATGTTTCAGGTCCCGTTTCTCCCACATCACGCACTGACAAGTCAATCCAGTTGGTTATTTAGCGATTGGCCAAAGCATCTCGCAACCTAGGCCAATCCGTCAAATGATATTCAACCTGACTCGCACGCGACGAAGCGCTAGCTCTTTTGGGGCATCATGCAGGGGTATGTTGTATCGAGAAGTCATGGAAATTGTGAATGTCGAGGAAGAAGAAAGTGTAGATCCACTGGGGGATGGTTCTTCTCCACAGACGTTGAAGGGAGCTAAAACAGTCCCGACGGCATTGAGGGTACATGATGAAGCAAATGTTCGTATTATACTTCTGTTATGGATCAAAATAAACTCAGCAGTTAAGAATTACCAATGCCACTGTCCTGAGACGACGAAGTGCATTCTGTAACTTGACAAAAGCAAAGCTATCTTGCGCCATCACCGTCAAAAGTCAACCCTTAATATCGTTTCTGCCCCGCAAGCATGTGACCAATGCTCTCGATACGAGTGTGCCAAGGGCGCATCTGGCAGCTGTGCTATGTATGATATGATTGACACTGCCGTCTGTGCGACACATGCCGTGACCCGTTTCGTTTCGTTTCGTTTCGTTTCCATCCCTATTTAACTACCGCCATGTCTCACTCCCTTGAGAAAATTGCTATTCATTCCGTACCGCCATAATGCATCTCAATTCGCTCCTTTTGTCCTCCATCTTCGCTGCCTCAGCCCTCGCGGCACCAAGCGCTTCAACAAAGAAGGCTTGTGAAGAGATCTCCAAAGCCATTCCGGGTCGCGTATCACAGCCCTTCACTATCAACTACAATAGCCAATCTTCGGGGTATTGGTCTACGGCTCTACGTGAGATCAAGCCTGCTTGTGTCGTCACTGCCAAGACAGCCGAAGATGTTTCAAAGGCTGTTACGATCTTGAACAAGTATCCTGATGTCAAGTTCGCTGCTAAGAGTGGTGGACATGACCCGAACCCTACTCATGCTACTGCGGGTGATGGAGTTCTGATCTCGTTGAATGAGATGGTTGGCGCGACTTATGATGCTGATAAAAAGGTTGCGTATGTCAAGCCTGGCGGAGAATGGAATGATGTTATTTCGCAGCTCAACGAGGATGGTGTTGCTATCGTTGGAGGTCGTCTTGGTATGTCTTATGATGGTTGTTGGTTGATGCACTACTGACTTGGCTCTAGGACTGGTTGGTGTTGGAGGTCTGCTTACACAAGGTGGCATCTCATTCCTGAGCGCTCAATACGGCTTGGCTGCTGATGTATGAACCGTTATGGAACCATAGTGACTCTTGCTAATGGTGTACAGAACGTTGTATCCTGGGAGATGGTCAACTGGAACGGCACAATTATCAATGTCGATGCCAAGGCTCAACCCGAACTTGCCGTCGCCTTGAGAGGCAGTGGAAGCCAGTTTGGCATCGTGACTCAATTCACCGTCAAGGCCTATCCCATTGGAAAGGTCTGGGGCGGTATTCGCACCTACGATGAGTCCAAGACAGATGAACTCTACAAGGCGATGCACGAGTTCATCCCATACAGCAACGAAGACCCCAAGGCCGCTATCATTGTTACCAGTCTCATCCTCACTGGAAGCAGCAGAATCAACCTTTTGTTCTACTTCTATCAAGGCGAGAAACCTCCTACCAGTGGAGCCTTTGCCGATTTGTTGAAGATTAAGTCCACGCTTTCTACTACCAAGACACAATCGTATCCTGATCTGGTAAGCCCATTGATGTCGTCTTTGGATGTGACAGTACTAACAGTATAATAGCTCAAGTCCAACGGCGCCGGAGTTTCACTGTTGAACTCGAGAATCTCATTCCGAGTAAGTAGCTTCCTTCTGCTATCTATTCTCAGCTAACATCCTAGACCGCTACTATTCCCTACTTCCCCAAGGACTCAACCGTATACGCCGAAATCACCAACAAGTTCGTCGACATCACAAGCACCTACTTCAAGAACCTCCGCGGTCTCGCCTCCCAATGCTCCGTCGACTTCCAACCCCTCCCCTCCGCAATCGGCAAACATACCGAAGAACGTGGTGGAAACGCCATCGGCTTCACCGCCAACGATCCTAACCGTGTTCTTCTCGAGATCCAGTGCGCGTGGGTTGAGAAGCGCTACGATGATACTGTTCGCCAGTTCTCCAAGGACTTGACTGCTTATATTGAAGATAAGCTTCCTGAGTGGATTGAGAGGAATGGAGGCGATGTGGATGAGTATCTTCCTCTCTTTATGAATGATGCTATGCTTGATCAGAATGTCACCGGGACCTATAAGGATTACGCCAAGTTCAAGGCGTTGCAGCGCGAGGCTGATCCGGAAGGTGTTTTAAGAGAGAGGATGGGTGGCTTTAAGTACTAGTTCCAGCTTCAGAGCTGCAGTTAAAACGTCTACGTAATATGCTATCTATATAATACTTAATCGGACCAGGCTGCTTCTACCACCAAATTCAACGCGTCCTTGCACACGAGGTACTGCAACTACAGTCAACAAATCTACCGCCTGTTAACATGCGACAACATATGTGCTCGTCTCGAGCAAGCCATCAAGCCATCCCACATCTGTTTCAACCTCGCATTTCCAATCTCAAACCTCTCCAGATACCGCAACGCCACCAGCGTTTCCGGCAAGGTGCCGACGGCGGATCCACTTCCAAGCCCCAGATACGCCTCTACAATAGGTTTTCTGACGTCAAATTCTGTATATACATTGTTGAGCTCTGTGATAGCTCTGTCCATGTCTCTCGTCTTGACAAACATCTCTTGACTTAACGCCGCCATGCTTTTACCGAGATCGGTATCAGGGCCTGCATTACGGGAGTTAGTTTGCAAGGATTGTATCATGTTGTTTAGATTCAAGAGGAAACTGCGTATTCTGTTACGAAAACCTTCGTATTTTGTGTGCTCGGCGATTGCGATCTGCCATCTTGCTCGAGCAGCACTGGTTGGGGTAGATACTGAGGCTTCGTTGTTAGCCATTTAACATAGTACGGGGCTTTCACTATATAACTATCAATTAATGTATTGAGTGTAATACAGATGGGGAGGTATGAGAGAAACAGCGTTAAGAAGTTTTTATACCATCAAGTAGGGGTGGAATCACTGTTGAGACTTGCCCAAGATGTAGGGCATCATAGCCATGGCTGGTGAATCAGAAGCTTTCCCAACGGATTACATTCTACTGAACATAAAATCTTTGTTGTTTATGACAAAAAATACTTTAATACTGGATCCATACAGTGACTAGTAAACTTAACGAGAAAGATCGAGAACTTCTTGAAGCAAGAATCCAAGATATAGGACCCTGATTTGAACAGTTTGTTGCATTACGTTCCATACTTTGGTGTTCTTTGCCTTTGTGGCCTGGAGGCTGGAGCCTCTTTTGACCTCTCAACCTTATCACAGTATCACGTCTTGAAAATTAGGTTACTCAATGCATGTTTGCTAGAATATTCATAGGTCTCATGGTATGGTAGCTAGTCACGATTGCGAAAGCGATATTTTAATGACGCGCTGATACACTCCGAATGTCTGCTCTGCTATTCTGCCTATCACCACGTGTGCCATGCTGCTTGTAAAGTGTTGCCTCATTGTGACCGGCGACGGTATCATGAAATCAAATCGTTAGATTTGCTTTTTCGCTTCGTGAAAAGACCACCGCTGGTACTCACATCGTATCAGATAAGCATAATCCACCGCAACCACTTGCTGTTTTCTCTTCTCGCCTAATGTCTCGCTCGTCACTGGGCGATTCATGGAGAAAAGGACGAGTCTTGTGTAACCCAACTGCATCGGCAACTCGCGATTCCGAGGAACCCCTGTCCAGCCACAAGTCCTCACCGCCACTGGCCAGCCAGCCACGAGAGAGAACTGTATTACTAAAATGAGGAATCCTGGTCGTGCAGTTCAGCTGTGTCCAAGAACCCCGCCTGAGAGTTTTCCCCCGCGCTCATAACTGCGCCCATATTCCCAGCTCCCGTGGTGACTTTCTTAGAGTTGCTTCATGTTTCTACGCTGTCTAACTGGGCTAGTCCCTTGGCTGGTAGGTGTACTACCTGCATCGGTCCTTTGTCGAATACTGCATCTCCATGAAATTGCAATAGTTCGATGCATGTCTAAGTTGATTCGGTGAGGATTGATGCTTTCATTGGTGGCCGGTTACCCACCACGTCTGTAGAAAAAGGTACTTGATCCAGTGTGAAGGAACGCGCATCCATTGATCGTGCATCTGAGACATATCTCATCACTTTTCTGAATCGATATCTTGGAGACAAAAAGTGACAACGCCATTATAGCTGCATATGCAGTGACAGCGCGCAGTCCAGCATCCAGTTGGAAAGCGTCTTACTCGCCAAGAAATACCCAGCACCGAGGTCTCGTAATTTCACGCGACACAAGTCTCACTTTCTCTGCCACCTATGATGTAGTGCTCAGTGCCACGAGGTTGGAGAGCCCACCCAGTGTCTCAAGTATGGAGAGTTATGCTTACTTATCATCGTTGGAGTACGCCAGTTTCCTCCAATGGATAGCATCCATTTGACCCGACTTCCTTTGGAATTGCGGCCCGTAAACGGCTTGCTGCAGTGGACCACCAATATCTCATTAGAATGACTTGCTTCAGATCCAGGTTTTCTCCACGGCTTGCAGAGAAAAGTAGGCAGGCTATTGAGATAGCCTACTCGTGTAACCATCAGCCATGAGATCAACTTGGGTTTAGAAGAGGAATTATAAGTAAGGATCTAAGACTCAATTGAGAAAACTGACTCACCAGCTGTCTGCATTCGTGCCATGTCGACCCTCGCTTCATCTCGAAAGAGGGCATCGACCCCCTCTTCCCCAAGCACCAGCTTGAGCAAGAAACTAAAGCTGACAAGCATTTCCCCACCCCAGCTTATCATCTCACCCGCCGCGCTTACGACACTTCTGAACCAAGATCCAGCCGATCTCATGCCCGATCTGCGGATGCAGGTGACATGTCTCAAACTGTTTCTCCTGGTAATGTAAGATTACCAAAGATCCATCGTGGAACCAACTGACGACCTGCAGTGCGCGCATGCGAGAAAACATACCAAGTGTGCAAAAGGCTTCACCGAAACACAAACGTAAGCACGAAGTTGGGTACAGACAAGCTGTGGAGGCTCTCAACAAGTTAGATATTCTAGGCATCGCGACAAAGAAAATGATCGCTGCAGTTAATGATATTGAGAAGCTTACGAGGGACATTGATGAGATTTTGGAAATTGACGCGCCTTCGTTTCCTAATGTGCAGCTGAAGAGGTCATGTGAAGATTTTATGGGCGTGTATGAGGAGAGATTGGCCAGCTTGGACCCTATGAGAGAAAATGGCTGTGATGAGAGAGAGCAAGAAATGGCGTGAATGAAATTAGTATAGACGGTGTCTTTCATTTTGAGCCAATGCATTGAGAGCGGTGTTTTCATGACTGAGAGACAGCGAAGCCAAGCTGTGTATTTAACGTGACAAAAACGTTCAATCTGATGCCTTACGAAGATTCCGCTAGACTGGCCTCAATTCTGTTATCGCCTGAAGGCCCTAAATCCTTCAAAAGCTCACTGAGGCACAGTCTGTGATTGGCACAATTCACCGCTGAATGGGTTTTGGACATTTGCCCCTGTACTGGTCACTGGCAATGCACTATAGTGGTCTTCTACAGTGCAGTTTGGGCTGAAATGCCCTCAATGGCAACTAAATTGTTCAGCACAATCTCACAGGCTATTTGTCAACACCTGTTCAAATTGAGCCTATATAATAGGACATCGCGAAACAGCTCTGTTCAATGTTCGCAGGTAAGAATTCTCAGAGTTTCCTGTTCAGATGACGTGTCGCTCTTGTATAAATAGCGAAAGACTTTCCATTTCAACCAAATCTCTATCTATTAACCTCCATCTCACAATCTTCATCCTTTTTCACTACCACCAACCAACACAAATAATTAACATCAACGCACCGTTGCATCCTACTACCTCTATACAGGCCACAACACTAAAGACCACCCAATCAAACAACTACCGAAATGTCTGCCCAGCTCATGCCATTCCGAAGCAACAAGTTCACGTCGGAACTGCGACAAGACTACAAACAACGCGTGTCCACCTTTGCAGAAGACCTCGCTCAGGTCTATGAGCTTCGCGTTAAGGTAGACAGAGCTAACAGGGAGTTCAAGGAGGGAATCGGCAGGCAGATCGACCAACTGATGCTCATACACTCAGAACTAATTCAGGAAGCCGATGCTGCTTGTACCGGAGACTCGCTTCTCCTAACCGAGGAGGATATAATGACCCTCTACTTTCATCTTGGCACACAGGTCATCCCAGCGCATTGGCTAGAATGTGTTCTGGATAACATTCGTGAGAATGAGAAGCTGAAAGCCCAAGAGAAGATGATCAAAAACCGATACTGCGAATTATACCACCAGAAAGGTCGCCCGCGCATGACTCGGAATAATGGCCATTATACGCGTCGCATGGATTGGTACGCTCGACGTCTATTTAGTCGACAGGAGACAACTGAGGAAGGGCGACTGCCGGTGAGAATTGCTAAGAGACTCGAGTTCCTGAAGCGGTATGGACAAGCAGATATTTCGGCGACGGACTTTGAGCATGATTTGAGTGCCCGGACATGCGTTTCGGTCGAGGACCTCAGACCCAGAAAGCATGGAAAAAAGCCTGATAGAATTAGATTTGCGCAGAGGCAAATCTCAGGCGCAGCTCCTCGTAGGCCATTGTTTTCTTCCGGTAAGTAGATATGTCGATGTTGTCTTGAAATAGACGTGAGAGTCTGCTGATGATCTAAGTACCGCCAGGCTGTGTCTAAATTGAATGAATATAATTATGAAACTTATTGAAAGATTACTATCTCACCTGTTGCTCTTTGTAAAATGAAATTTCGACATATATCTACTCATCGTCGTTACCAATCTCCACGTCCCCCTTTAGCCCATTCAACATAATGCCTTCCTTCCATGCATGGATGCCTCAGCAATTCGCAAATCAATCGCAATAAGTTTACGACGCCATAAATATTTCATTCTTAATAGCTTCAATTCCCTAGTAAACTAAGCACCTCTCCACTCTTGCAAGCAGAACCTATATCCAGAGTGAAAAATGTCCTACAAATCCACATCCCAACGACCAGTACTCAGAATGAACAGCGGCGCTTAGTAAAGACTACCAGTCCAGTCTTGCGCAGCCCCCGATGAGGTAGCCCCGTTGATGGGCCCCGCCAAGTTAACCCCAGAGTTGGTATAGATGCCAAAAGGATCGCCAGCATCATTCTTGGGGTCGTAGCTACAGCCTCCAGATGCCGGCGGAAGAAGTTGCCAGTACAGGTTCGGCAGACCACCAGAATTCATATCATTCACCTCCGAGACGAATGACGACTTCTGATCGTATTTTTGCGAATCGACTCCCCATTCCTCGAGAAAGACCTTCTTTCCATTGGCCTGGCTCAACCAGCTGGGTAAGTTGGCGCTCCACTTGCCAGGGACGCTTGCATAGCGGTGGACGGAAATGGCGTCGATGGCTTTGCACTGGGTCACTGCGGGGAGAAAGGTGCAGCCGTGTGAGAAGTCACCGCCTAGACCACCGGTGGAAATCAGGATATGGCTGTCCAATCCTGCATTGCGCATGAACGTAGCACGACCGCATGCCCAGCCTGCAGGGTCGCCATTCTTGCAATTGCTAGGCCCAGGAGTCATGGGTTCATTCTGTAGACTCTGTTAGAAAATAAAAGGTGATAGGATGGCTTGGAGTTCATACCTGAAGGTTGAAGCTGAAAATGGCGTGAGACCAGTTTTTCCAGACTTTGCCGGAGTATGCGCCTTTATAGTTGAGAATGTACGACAGGCGAGCGTCATATGCATCAAAGGCATCCTGCTTCTGATAGAAAGACCCGGCGCCCCAACGAGCCCAATAGGCGTCCCTTGGAAATGTTAAAAATTGCAGGTTCCTGTCATGTGAGATATATAAGACTTACTTTCTGTAATCCCCAATCAGGGAGTTGGCGTCATGGGGTGAAATGATAGCCTTGATATTCTTATCCGACAATTTGACCAGAAGCTTATCAACCTCATCCAAAGTTACTTTGTTGTACTGTCCGATGGTGGTCTCCAGCTGCGGGATATCCCTGACAATCTGGCTTCCTTTCTGGCAGCCCTTGCTAGCTTGATTGACCCAGAGCCTGACGACCTTGGCGTTGTAGGAGGACAAGGTCTGGATGTACGCGTCCTGAGCGGAGTCCGACATGCCTTGCAGGAAGTAGTTGTTGGTGCCAGACCAGGAACCAGACTTGGCTTCGGTCAACTGACTAAGGTAAGCCAGGGCTAGACACGCCGTGGTAAAGGGTCCTCTCATGGTTTGGGCTGCTTAGACGGACGGACAAGTGGTTGAGGAGACGACACGTGGTAATGGTCTGGGTTTTATTTTGTTGCTAGAGAGCTTTACCTTTATTTATACCTGATGGGTGAACTACGTCTTGCACATTCAGGCTGAATGGTGTGCATATGCAGCATCACAGCTGACTTATGGTGACATTGGGTGCTATGCGTGAGGGAGTCTTGCTGCATGCTGTAAGCATATAACCTTTGATCAACGAAGCCTTCCAGCAGGGTATGGACAGTGCAGGAAGTTACCATAACCCTTCTACAACCTAGTTAGCCAAGACAATTTAATAAATACCAAAGAGCATCAGCCTAGGGTATTCATTTCAGTGACACTTTCTCCCTTGTCAAACTCGATCAGGCTATCGATGCATCATGGCCCCCAAATGTCGAAGGTTGGGAATATCAGGCTCGGCCCTAAAGACTGCCGTCGTAGCCGACACCAACCAATCATGATAAGGAATGTGGTGGCTAATGCGCGAATGGGTAGCTCGGTGTGCAATAAGGCTCTGCCCATACATCTGTTTAGGGACCAATGCCAGAGATACGAGCCCAGAAACTGGTATTGGAGGTGTCCTTGGTTAGCCCGCCCTGTTCAGCTGGTCCTCTTTACAGATAGTACCCCAATTATGCTAATAATCCAATGAGTCTTATTGGTCACCGTAGCTAGCTAGACCGTGTTGATCTTTCAATATATGCATGAAACTTTTGCGCTCGACCATTCCACCCAAAAGGTTGCAAGTAACGATGCTTGCATATACGACCTGCTCATTCTGGCATGGCGATATAGTTCGGGTGCACCGGCCTATGATAGAGGAAATTGATCGGACGATCTTTGTGGCGAGACCGAGGGAATCAGATGTACGTATCCACTCTAGGCAGCTGAGCCAGGTACGGAGTTTCATATTCGGCAATAGACTCCAGCTAGCGCATGATCTGCTACAACGACGAGCTAGCTATCATAACTCCCAAACTTTCAGCCGAATGTCAAGATATAATTCCACAGGTTGAGAAGCATATATAAGGAAGACCTAGAAAGCCAAGGCAATCATCATCAATACTCTACTATCGCAGAACCATTCGATTCTGCCCAAACTTCAATCATCATGCCTTCTCTCATCGCCCTTTCAATGGTGGTCGGAACCATTGCGACACCAGTCCTCGCAGATATCTACAACGTCAACGTCCCCTCTGGCTTCTTTTCCGGTCCTCAGTCCGGCATCGGTTCATGGTACCGCGCCTCCACGGGCCAGGACTCAACCAACGGACAAAGCTGGTGTGGCTACAAATACTACAACTCGGACCCTGTGTTTGCTCCCGTAAGCGAAATCAACCCTCATATACATGTTGAACATCTACTCATGATTTCATAGTCTTTGAAGGCGATGGGTGGTGCTACGTACAACTCCAACCCCGATGCCTGGAGACAGCAGACCAGGAAGTATTGTGGTCTGGAAGCCAAGGTCACGGACCCTACGACTGGCAAAAGTCAGCTCATGTACATTGGCGATTCTTTTGACGACGCGTGGGTTAGAGTAGGTCACAGGACGAGCTTTTGTGAGATTGGTACTGATATGTAGACGTAGACACCCGCATCCATCGACATTATGATCGATGCCTACTCCAACATCCATGGAAATCCCAACGGCGACAAAAACAACGTCATCAAGGGAGTTCAATGGGAGCTCACAGGTAGGGTCAACACCAAGTATGCTGCGCCGGGTGCGTCCTGGCCTCCCACGTCCGGTGGTTCTGGCGGTGGATCCGGTGGTGGTTCTAGCACTGGAGGTTTGGGGGCCAAGTGTGACGGCCAGACCAAGTTGTGCAATAGCGGCCTCACCTGTCTCTCACCCGATGGTGTCTGCAGTGACAAGGCTTGCAATTGGGGGTAAGTGATCTTGAGAAGAGTGACATGTTCAAATACTAACTGGTCTCACTAGATGCCAGGGATGGTCTTGCAGCTCAAGTGTCCCGTGCCAAAAGCCTGGGAACTGCGTCAACGGCGTTTGCAGCGCTTAGGACGAGAAACTGTGATTGAGGTTATTTCTTGGGGATTAGGGTGTTCAACTTCGCTTGATGGACCAGCGTAAGGATGTAGATTCAGATAAGAACGTCTGGCGATCAACCCACCAATTTTACCTATACGAACCCCATCGTCCCAATCAACTTTTCAGATCGACGATATCAAATTCTACACACAGGATTCAAGCTTGCTTGATATTACTTTTCCTAACTAAATATCAGTATCCTCCTCAGTCGTCCTCTGCATAGCGGAAGTTTACCAGATACTCTAGCTGCCTTTTCTTAGCCTCATCTACTCGCCGCCATGTTTTAGAGAGGTCCTGCTCAAGCTTAGCACACATGTCACTCTTGACCTCCAGGTCCTTACAATCCAGAGCTTTCAAAATATCGAGATGCCGTTTACATTCTTCGTATGCAGCCTCAGCAGCCTTTAGCTCAGCTTCTTGAGCTTGATGGACATAAGACTCGAGTTTCATGATCCTCATATCTTTCTTTTCAAATTGAAATGGTGCCGTGGCTTTTATCTCGCGGCGTTTCATTTCAATCTGGATGCGGGCGAGAGCGTGCTGGAGATCGGCGATATTGGCTGCGAGATCAATGCACTCGGTGCACGTCAAGACGTTGGTATAGTGGTCCATTTTAACGGTATCCGTGGTAATTACCTGGATTGTTTTGGCTGCGGTACTTGATAGGTAGTCCTAGTATCGGTGGAAGTCGCTGTTGACTCATGATCGATCACAGAACTGGGAAGGTTTATATAGTACAAATGCGGGATTGGTTGTTCTCCTGAAGAATCCTTTGTCTTTGTAACTTACCCTCAAATGGGGCAAAATTTGTTCGTTCGGTATTACCTGTTCACGGACTTTGTGCTGCCAAAGTGTTTGGCTGAAACAAAGAATACATAATATTCTTGAGATCGACCCATCATAGAGCTTATATCACCAATTCCCTTGACCTTGGCATCTTTTCCTTTTGTCACGACATACTGATGTGGCGGTGAGCCCCGTCGTGAAATTCAGCCAAACACTGCACACACTTCAGCTCCATACCAGCTTATGCTAATCGGCCGGAAAGGCGGGAGAGGCTTGCGACGTCATAAGGTTTGCAGCGTAGCATCGAGCAAGATGAAAACTGGAGATGGCACGTCAAGAAAGTGTCAGAACCCGTACTCATTGGAGAATCTCGTGCTTGGTCAATGCTGGAAGAGTAACTGCCGAATTATTACCAGGGTTACAGGCGGTCAATCCGAGGCAAGAATAAATCTTCTATTTCTACCCGATGCTCTTCAACTTACAACATCGTGCTTGACAACTGCCTCATACGATCGCCATCAAGCACCATGATGAGCATCAAGTCCCTTCTTGTCTCGGTTCTCCTCATCGGAGCAGTCCAGGCGTATGATCAAACTCCCCATCGCGTATCAAAACCTCACCTAACTGAATTGTACAGAGACGACTCAAAGGATCTCAGCAAACATAATTGTTGTCTCCATATCAAAGATGCCAGTGACGCTTGGTGGATGACAAACCCCGACATCACCAAAGAAGTCTGCAATTCGTACTACAAGGATGTCGTGAGTATATCACCATATTTACGTGTGCATAACTGACCAGTCTGTGGGCACAATTTGATAGCAAGATTGGGACGTGCGACGAGCACAAGAATGGGACTATCAAGGATGCGGACTGGAAGAGCAAGTGTAAGAATTATGGAACGTCATTGGGCTGAACAGATGACCGGGTCGGCGCTGGGCATGACGCGACGTGTTATCCGATAGACGCGTGAGGACCTAGGCAGAAAGTGCGACGAGATCCATACGCGCTCGTGTATTTGGTCTAGATACGGCAGATCGAGAACCGACTGTCTATGATGCGAGACATGAAGCAGTTGATAACCCTAATGACCGGGTTGAGGTCCTACCACGAAACAGCGAGCCATCGACCATGGTAGCGAGGGAAAGGCTTGTGATGTATTGCGAACGCTCACGGAAAGATACCATCAGACATTGACTAGATTAGTATGCTGAGATTTAGCTTGTACGCAGAGTTTACTGTATCAATTAAATCCGAGCCCGTCTTGGCTTGGTTGCAGCAAGAAGTCCAAATGTGGTGGTCTTTTATCATAGAGCTATATCTGCTTGCGACGACAGGGCATTGCTCGACGCTTCCTTTCGCAACCGCGCAATATCTCATAGTTAATCATTTTCTAGCTAGCTAGTTATCCACACCAACAACATCACCAGTCTCTGATTAGCATGCGCATCATGTAGATCATCATTGATGTTTGCGGAGTTCAGATGACCTTTTCGTGGCGTCAACCTCAAACGTGTTTGGCCCCATGATGGTAACAAACATCACCAAAACTGCACCGAGCTCCAAGACTTGGACAATAAGTCAAAGGAATAACAAGAGGCAATTAATATTACTTTTCTAAAACTAAAAGCTACAGAATTACCAATTAAATCCATCTAGCCAACATCACTAGCCCCAAAACCCAGGTTATCAACCCCCCAAAACTTGTACCAACACTGCCCGCCAACAAACCACTTGCCGTATTATTCCCCCAAAGCCACGTCACGACCCCAGCACCATCTTCCTCATCAATACTGCACACCATTCTACAAACATTTCTATCCCCCCTCTTCCTCAAAAACCTCCCTTTTGGGCCCGCATTATCTCTTTTGCCCTTATTAGATGCATCACTGGTGTTGTACAGCAGTTGAAGCCATTGCATCTCCATGTATGCTTCTTCACCCGTCGTCATGTTCTGTGTCCAAACACCTCCATCTCCCCACGTATTGAAGATCATAAGAGATGGATCGCGGGGAACTTGGAAGGAAATGTTGGCGACTTGTTTGCCGTTGGCGTACCAGATTGACTGTCTTGGTGTCCAGTCCAGACGATGTTCTACCCACTCGCTCCACTTGAGACCATCGGGGAGTGTTGTGTTGCGCGTTGCTTTGGGGTACACTTCGCCTTCAATGCTATAACCGGGATGATTCGTATAATGGACCCGATCGTAGTCTTCTCGTGTGAGAATTTCCATATCGGCTTCTTGCACGTTCTTGATCTCGTCGGCGGGGACGTACGTGAACATCGCCATGCAAGCACCCGGTGCACCTCTCACGCGACCGAGGAATCTGATAGACAGAAACTGGAAGCGATCAATCGAGTCAAACTCAGATGCTACTTGAAACTCTTGTTGTCGGTTCGTTCGCATGGAGAGGTATGTTTCTAACGCTGGGTTCTTATCTGGGTTGGTCCGGATGTAAATGTTGTTTGCAGAGTTGACCATCGGAAATCTCGCGCCGTAAGCAAGAGTGTCGTGACTTCTTCGGTTGCTCCAGCTCTGGATGGCCCAAAAGTCCTTCCATTCCTTTTTCTTGAAGTATTTGCTCGTGACGTCGGCTTCAGCTGATGCATTCTCTCCGGCGATCGTGTCCGGAATGCCAGCGTAGTCTCCGAGGTTTCTAAAGTCCCAGAACCGATGCTGCGTGTAATATTCTGGTTCAATGCCGTCTGTCTGGTAACAATTACACTGGTCGGCCTCCCAGTCTTCAGGCTTTTTCTCAGTCGCATTGTCTTGGGCTCTCGTGACCGCGATAAGCGCGAAAACCACAATTTTTCGTAAAATCCCCATTTCTGTTGATGTTCGCCGTGCATCAATGCGACATGGTCAACAGGCAGATTAATTAAGTAAAAGAATAAATTAAGGCTGTGGGGGAGGATCTGATCTAACCTTGTAGTGAGACGAGCAATGCAAGAATTAATAGCGTCGTCTCTAGCACCGAATCACGGCGACTAACGAGCCATAATTATTGATTGTTTATGCCGTTTTGGGAACGGCTCAGTATCGAGCGTGAAAGTGCGCAAAGGAGCGCAGGAAAGGCCAAGAAAGTTGATTTGTTCTTGGCGATAGAGAAACCTGCGTGTGATGCCTGCGTTGGGAGCTGGGCTAACGCCACCAACTATATTACAAGGCTGGTGGTCGGCGATTGCTGGAGATGCAATTTTACTTGCTGGAGAATTGTCAGGTTCTATATCTACACGGTAATTCATGTTGCACGTGCCGATGGATTGGATTAAGCTTCTTTTGAGACATTCAACGATCTACACTGTGATACTGAGTGGCGTATTTTCCCAAAGACGCTCGAAAGTGTGCGTAAATCCAGGCTAGTTGGAATCATGATTACCACTTTCAACCAAGGCTGTCCTGCTATGCTTAATTGTTGGCTTGTAATTGGCATGGATTACCCTGAACACTGGCGAAAAACGTGGCTATTGTATCATGCTCCTTATTTCGTATCGCTTCTCCCAAAAGCTCGGTCTTCTCTTATCTCCAGACGTGACTGGAAATTGGCGGGAGGGAGCCAAAGACGACCAAAAATGACGTGTAACCAATACACTACCAACATCCGCCGCCTGACGGAGAGCGGCTTAGAATTTAACACGTCATGTTTCTCAGTATATCTAGCGAGATGAAGATTCGTATTGTCGTATCTAATTCGAGACGCGGCATGATGCGACACATCACACGCAATTTGAACGAGGAGTTACGAGACCCAGTGGGTTGATGACTGAGTATGAGGTGTGCTCTGGATGAATGATGGATAAGGGGAAGATGAGTGAGTGAACTGATCAAATCAATGGAAGATACACATGAAGTAGAGTGAGAAGGATGTCAAGATGTGTCTTACTCTAAATTATTATCTTGCGACAGAATGAAAATCTAATCAACCCATTTTTTGACACCAGCCAACGAAACAGTCGCACAAAACACAAACTTCTCAATCACTTGCACCAGCTCTCCACGCGAACACCCTCCAACTTTTCCAGCAGAGAAAAGTCCATGTTGTGCTGCTTCATAGCCACCACAATGACATTAAATGTCTTCAAGAAGTTCTTGTTCCAATCACGCTCACCAAGACGAAGAACCTGAGGCACAGCCTCTTGCTTGACCAACGCATCAGCCCAAGTGAGGTCAATCTGAGCACCTGAAACGGCCAACTTTCGAACAAGCGCAACACCAGGTGAGTTGTCAAGCTGAGATTGACCAGGCTTGAAGCCAAGGCCAACGACGAGCACACGTGAGCGACGTTCGGTGATGGGGAGTGAGTTGATGAGACGCTGGGCCAGCTTGGCGGGTCTGTTGCTCATGGCTGATGAACAGGCTTCAAGTAGAGGAAATGAACTGTTGCTAAGAAGATAGTAGGGGTTCACGGGAATACAGTGTCCACCGACACCGACACCAGGGGCATAAGGCATGTAGCCGAACGGTTTGGTGGACGCTGCGGAACAGACCTCGTAGGGGTCGATACCGTGAGGGATACAGGCATCAGCCATTTCGTTGGCGTAGGCGATACAGACCATACGTTGGCAGTTCTCGTACAGCTTCATCATCTCTGCGACTTCAGGCTTGGAGACGATGACGACGTTGTCAAAGATTGTGGAGTATATGCGGTTGATGGCATCCAGGGAGCCGGGGAGGATATCGTCTAGACCTGAGATGATCTTTGGGATCGACTTGACCGGGGGATCGGCACGGCCTGGGTCAACGCGCTGTAGTTGTGATTTAGCAAACGTCTTTGTGATGAGAGGAGATTTATGAGTGAAGGTGTAACATACCTCTGGAGACATGCCAGCAAAAACACCAAGTTTCGTGGCGATGGGCCCGACCAACTCACGGGTCATGCCAACAGCAACAGAGCTCTCAATAACGACAGTCGAACCCCGACGGGCAACTTGACCGACCATCTTGAGAGCATCACGGAGATACGAAGAATCAATAGTCTTGTCAGGTCGCAACAGTGTAGGCACCGATATGAGAAAGTGGGAAGCAGCGACAAGATCATTCTTAGTTCGTGAAAAGATAACGTTGTCATTGCCTTTGAACTCCTGTTGAAGATCTTGAATGCGCTTCTCAGAAACATCAAAGCCGATGACTTGATACTTTGACGAGAACGAACTGACGAGATGTCTTCCCACGTAGCCAACTCCAACGACTGCTACCACGGGGATATCATCGGGAGCGACATCGGTGGAACTTTTGAGTGTGAGGTCTGTCTCTGAGGGGACAGAGCTGAGGGGAGGAGTGACTGGGTAGAAGGGGAATGACGAGGGAGAGTCTGACGATGTCAACGTCCCAGTGTAGTGCTCCATCTTGACGAGTGCTTCAAAGATTGAGGGAAAGAAGATGATAGCAGTAGAAAACGCGAAGTTGAGCGAGCGATTTCAGATGGAAACGGTTCAGCGGTGCTCGACCTTCTTACAACGACAGCTCAAGCCTCATATCTTAAATATTCTTTTTGAAGGCCCAGACCACCACTTATAGGAGCTGCAAGCAGCCCTAGTCATCCTCATAATTCTTTAAGTATGCAAATAATGAGATCATATGAAGCAAAGACTCTGCATTCCGGTGTTCTGCACTCTGTTTCTGCAAAATCCTGTGTCACTGAGCCAGAGCACCTTCGACCCAACTGGGCGGTTCCACTGAGACTCCAATCCTAGCTCAGACCAAGGGTAAATGGCTGACGGTGTGTATTGGAACAATTGAGTTGGGCCTCGTTTCTTCTGAAGCCACTTCATGGCGAGCTTGCATGCTGTTGGGTAGGAGCATGTTTCGGGCGGATTAGCCTGTGCGGCCTGCAAACAGAGACTCACGGTAAACTCCGTACCAGGATCAAAGAAGAAACTTATTCGTTGGT